TATAAAGTAATTTTTTTGTTTACTAGAACACAGTTTTGATTCAACTAGTAGATCAAATGCAAAAAGCAATTCCTACTGCAGAATGGGGAGAAAACTTTCAATGGAAGGAAAACGTATTATCAAGCACAGATTTTTGGTTTGCAGAAGAAATACATGGAATTAATTTAGCTTTGTGTTATGCAGAACAAAATAGAATTTTACAAAATACAACTGAAATGAAAGAAAAATTGCAAGAATTTATAAATGCATGTTATGCATTTATACAGTATGAAAGGCTACAAAAATTTGATGGATTTGATTGGTTCTTATCAACAGTATTTATTATTTGTGAAGGAGATGTAGAAAGGTATGCATTAGATTATTTTAGAAAATTTAATTTTTTCATAGCATAAGTTTATGAAAACCGCTATCTGGTAAATATTAAATAATTCTTTATCCCTTGTTCTTCATTTCATATATATGCCTCAGGTGACCGCGAATACACCCGTTACTAGCAAATTCAAAATGTTTTGTCAAAAGTACTTTTATGAATAATCATAAAAATTGCGCGACAAAACAACATTGAAATTGCCAGTATTTTTTCAAAGAAAAAATATAGGGTAACTCTAGCTAGTCAAAGTATCATCAGTGGCAGGTCTCAGGTTGAAAACTTGGTCATCATTGAGATAATAATGCGCATAAGACTGTTCTTTATCATCATCGACCTTTTAAAATATTATTATGATGATACTAATAAAATGCGATAATTAATTGCAGATCTAAAACATTTATCACACAATTAATTCATTTCCCAGTAACTGCATTTTTGTGGTCCAATTTGGGGAAAGTTGTGGACAAGCATAGTAAGGAAGAATGTGGTACACAATTTACATTTATGCAATTTCTAGAAAGCATTGTTAGTAACGAGTTTCCACATGTTAAATTTGCGCTTAAGGTATGTGTATATATATATTGAAAAACAAATGACAAAGCTATTTTCTTATTAATAATCACTTTTCTGTCAAGTAATTAATCTTATCATATTTTTATTAATTAATTTACATTCTAATGTAGAATTCATTTGGAATGGATTGGTCATTGATGTGTAATTTAATGATATCTCAATGTTTTTGGGGTTTACTTCCATGGTCTCAAATTATGCATTTTTTTACTATTTGTGTCCTGTTTTCATCTGATTACATAATTTACTATTGCGCATCACTTCTGTGTCATTGTCAAAATAAAATAATGGAAAATATAACACGTGGAAAGATGTGGCCTGAACATATGGTGTGTATATATATTACAGCATGTATGGTGCCTTGTTTTTTGTACATATAATTATGCTATTTATACAGGTTCTGGACGATTATCAATGTCATAATTACATTAGATTTATGAATACATTAGATAAAAGATATGGAAACAAAATTTTACCAAAATTCTCGATTAAAGGGTTTAATTAAACAAGTGAAACGTAAACATTTGTTTCTGTTAAGTGAAAAATAAAACTCCCATTTTTAATATGTATTCATTATGTTAATAGAGTACAGAAAAAAACAGAACTAATCCTATAAAAATATGTATATACGTTACACTAACAATTTTTTTTAATGCTTGTTGTCATACACGCAGTGTTTTGTTTAACATTATTTTTTAAATAAATTTATTTATGTATATAAATGTCTTAATATATTTATTGATTTATAAAATATGCTCCATGTGTAAGTATGAATGTTGCACATATGCATGTGTATGTACATACATATGTATGAATAATATATAAATGATATTAAACTTTGATTAAATAACTAACAAATATTTATAAATTTTTTTTTTGGAAAATGTTTTGTACGTAGTATGTGCAATATTTATACAAGTCGTACCTTTTAAATTCAGGAATAAGATATCAGTTACAGACTGTTCCTTTATTTGTAAAATGTTTCAGAACTGATGGATAAATAACCTTATGTACAGTAATGACACAGTAGTATCATGTAATTGTTGCATTAATGGATTCAGTCATCATGAATAGTGAACAGTTTTGCTACTTCATTTAAGTCATCATATTTTGTGCCTCTGGCAAGTACCTGCAATGGGTATATAAAAAATAAATATATATTTGTAATATAAATGTATAATGCATATATTATTGCATATTTTTTAAACGCACCTGCCTAGCAATTGGCATTCGATTAAAGATATTCCAAAGAACTATGCCAACCACAATATCATCACGTAAATAAAAAACGACACCTTTTCCAAAGTCGTCATATTTTTTAGGTTCCACCTCTGTTGGTGGTTTTGAATCCTTAGTACATATTGATTTATCTTTTTCTTCTGAGTTTAATTGTACCGTATCATTTGCTTCTTTTGAACTTAATTTCTATATTACAAAAATATAGAGTATAAAAATCATAAAAGTAAATTACGATTTTAATAATCATATAACTCGCATCACCTCCTTATTTGAAGTTTGAATAGCTTCGTTTGAACTACTAATGGATGTTATTGAAGTACTAGACTCCGTCGCTTTTACAAAAACTCCTACAGTTGGCAGTGATGAATCCACAATACCAATTGCTTCATATCCAACCTCGGGCCCCAAATCGGACCAAAACATAGATTGATGTTGATATGGTTTTCCTAATGAACACAAAAATATAAATTCCGTTATTTCTCGTTTTATGTTGATTTTCATTATTAGTCATTATCATATAACATATTGTACAAATTTTAACTCACCTGCACCCGTCATATTTTCTCCTGCTAATCTCCCTGAAACTACAGCATGATCATGATGTTCTACTCTTCTTCTACCAAGTCTAATATCATAGAAGCAAGCTGCATCTCCAGCAACCCAAAGATTACTCCTTGCTTCTAATTCCGCATTAACAAGGAAACCGCCTACTTCAGGATCTGTTTCTAAGTGCGAAGCTTTTGCCAAATCAGTATTTGGTTCAACGCCTACTGCTACAATCACTTGATCAGCCTCAATCTTTTCATGTAAATAACAAATGGACAAGCATTTATTGTATCGCTTTTAAAACTTTTATATAAATATTTAAATAAAACGTACAATACGATTTTCCGAAAGAACGAGTGATAATTGTCCACTTTTGTAAGAATAGTCCTCAACTTCAGAATTAGGAATACAATTAACACCTTCTAATATTGCTTTCTTTGTTGCCCATTCACTTAGATATTGTGGTAATATTTGATCCATTATAAATTTTTCTTTATATACTTGATATACATTTTGATCTTCAGACACTAAACAAAAATATAATTACTTAAAAAGTGATCTTAATAATAAAGAGATGATTATTAGTTAAAAAATGTCTTTAATAATAAGGAGACTTACAATTACGCGCCAGAGAGCAAGCGAGTTCTGATCCCAGAAATCCGCCACCAATTATTACTATGTTTTTACATTTAGGATTATGCACAATATCTTCTAAATCGAGAAAATCTTCTTTTGTTCTAAAGCTTACAATTTTATCTTTAATTTCATCTTGAAGTGATTCAAAAACTGGAAGGTTTTTAGGTAATGCACCTAAAAACATATTATAATTAAAATTATATGCAAACCCTGAAGACAAATTAATTATACTTACCAGTTGCAATAAGACACTTGTCATACTTTATTGTGTAACCATCATCAAGTGTCACAGTTTTATTTGGAACATCAATTTTTGTAACTTTCCAACCTGTAGCTACAGCCACACCACCTTTGTCAGATTCATTTAAATTACTGACTTCCGAATAAAATTCTGGTGGCTCATAAAATATACTGTAAATAAAATTATAATATGTAAAAAAT